TGTAGCAGTGTAAAACACACTTGCATAAATGAAGTAATTTTTATGTACGATCCATTCAATCTAATATTTGAATTTCTACATTCTCACAGTTATTTTTTGTCCCAAAAGAAACATTTAAGGATACTTAAACTGACACCCAAACAGCATACAAAAGAATCGAAGTTTAGACATGCAAAAGAAGCAACTGGTAGCAAATTGCTACAAAGCTTTTCTTTGGAATCTGTAATAAATTCACGAAGGCTTGCACAAAACTAATATTTTTTTAACCTTAGTTGAACTTAGCATTCATTTAGTGTCAAGTGTACAAAAGGCTTTTCTTTTGCCTATATATCCTTCCCTCCCAATCTGAAGTCACAAATTCAAAAATATCCAGTTTGCCAAAATACAGAAAGTAGCTTTTGTAATCCAAATTAATGGACACAACTTACCCCACAACAAAAACCTTTTTGAACTATTAAAACTTATAATACTGTTAGGTGATATACTTAATATTGACTTAAAATAGAAAATGGACATAACTGTCAAGATCACTTTTTTATCTAAATAAGTAGTAACTTCACACTTCCACTAATTTCTATTGCTTTAGAAATTCAACAGTTTAAACTTCAATAATCATTTCAAGATAAAACAATTTTACTCTGTACCTTTACGGGTAGTTTTTACACAACAAACAGGACTGAATAAGCTTTCTAGTGAATGCAAAGGAAGAGTTGCTTGAACTTTCAAACAATAGGTAGTGTCCGGTGTGAGATCATCAATTGTGTCATCAGGAAAGATGCTTCGACTTTTCAACTGTAAGAAACAATTGCAAACCCCATATGAAGACAACTGTTCTTCCCGATGAGCCTTTTTTTAAAAAGTACCTTTATTTCTTCCCTAGGTTTCAGCTCATTTATAAAACATGCCATCAAAAATACTAAAATAGGGAACAAAGGACAAGATACGAGCGGAGTAAATGCTGAAGGGAAGTTTCCAACTTCATCATGTGACTGAGAGGAAGGAACATTTCATGTGTCTTTAACACATGAAAGTGGGGAGGGATTGTGGCACTGCTCTACATGACGCATAACTCGCCACACAAATATTCTGAGCACATGCTCAGAAGACAAACAATACACTTCCATCCCCAAGTTTACTGAAAGAATACTCCCCGCTCCCTCCCTGCTTGCAGTTTAGAAGGCTTTTTTCAGGGATTGACTTTTGCACGCAGCTTGTACTTAAAGCTTTTTTTCTCCCCCTTTGGTGTGTCATGATTATGACTTGAGTCTTCCAAAAAAGCGCAGGTATCTCCTCAATTCCTGCCCTATTCTAGCTGACATCCACTCCCCTAAAAGGATTAAAAAAAAAACAAAAAGAAAAGAAAAGAAAAAAAAAGATAGACCATTCCCACTTCGGTCCTTACAGAACAGCTCTATCTGCTGCACGAGACACACACTATGGCTCGGAAACTAGTTCACAATTACAACACCTCAAAAGAACCCATAAAACCCCCCTGAACCTACAATGTCAAACCAAAGAACTTAGTGACACAAGGATTATGTGCTGACTGGCAGCTGTAGTCAAGCTATATGGTCTCAGCAAGATCAGTTTAACCTCTCACCTCTGCCCTCCCCCTATATCTACGTGTTACTGTAAATGCTTCCTCCCACTCTCTTGAACTCTCTTCCCCACCCTGTTCCTGCTGGCTGAGGGTGGCTCCTGCTCCAACACATAAGAGCTGGTTTCAACTTCTTCCTCATGCATTGGAAAGCAGTTCCAGCATTTAGCAGAAATACAAACCTCTCGACACAAAATACCAAATGCAATCCTCCAGTGAAAATGAAATCAAAAAAAGTCCAAGAAGATACCCCTTGTCAATTTTTAAACTGCATAGCGACAGTTATACATAGTTGTAGAAATAATCAATTCCATTTTAGAGCATAAAGCAATTAAATTACATCTCTGACAGTTACATTAAGGTTAAAAAGTGGGAAAAAAAAGTGATCATACCTCTGCATTTGACAAATTTTTCCAGATAACTAGATTATATCTAAAATTTTGTTGCATTAGCAACATTCTTTGGACCTGATTTACTTCTGGAGGAGAAACCTTAATTTTTATGACTCCATTTATAGACTGCAACTTTATTCCTGGGGGATCAATTGGAATTGCAAGTACTAAAAGAAAAAAGTAAAAGAAAAAAAGTCAAGCATAACTATTTAAAGAAAAAACATCAAAAAAGTAATTTATATTAATAAACAACAGTAACTGCCCATAGTACCTTATTTTTAATTCTTCTGAGGTAGTAAAAAGATCACAGTAACTGCCTACAGGATCTTAGTTTCCACAAATCTCAGGCAGTATCTAATAGAAATTTAACTTAACAAGCAACCACCATTACCTGGTTCTAAATGTAGTACAGTTAAAATGCAATATTACTAGTGAATGTCTTCCAGAATCTGCTGTTAAAATCAATATAAGTTATTCTAAAACATGCAAAGCAAGAAATCTAGCTCAAAGAGAGAAGGCTTCAGTATCACACTATACTGTAACTACTGAAAAGTCACAAGGTCAGATGAAAACTTCCAGGAAGAGTACACTGTCAAAAACATGTTTTTTTCCTGAAAACTAGCGAAATACAGAGTGACAGAAAATGCTGCGAGAAAAACAGCATCACTCTCCCCTTTCCAGAAAACAAGGGGAATATAATATTCCATGACCTGAAAATATCTTATATTACATTAAGCTTGAGAAAACCACTAGGTCATGTTGTTATGAGCAACGGAAACCACACGCACTTTTTCCACAATAATTTGCTGAAGGACACTTAACTAAAAACATTACAGTATATACAGAGCTCATACCAATATAATATGGAGTCATTTCAAAAGTGCTAGACCACGGAGACACTTCTCCCCTTCTTTCAGCCCTTACACGCACATCATGGGGATCATAGTAATTGGTTACGTCTAAGGAAAAGCCACATGCTGTGCGAGTAACATTCTGACACCCAGGCAACTCCTCCCAGTTCGTTTTACTTATTTCAAAATCTTCAGACCTGTAAGAAAGAACCACCATCAAAAATAAAACCAATGCACAATTTAAGTCTTGAGATTCTTTTTCCTTTTCCTCTTAACACTAATAAATGTCACACCATTTAATGCTGTTTTAGCACCTGCACCAGTGTAACCAGTGTTATTTTCTTAGTTACCTGGAATTCATATTTTCATTTAATTCATTAATTTAATCTATTAATTTATTAGTTTAACCTTACTGAAGTTAACTATATCTGCAACATCTGATACCAGTTTGTTTTATTCACTGTGTAGTTGTGTAAACACATGGTGTCAGCAAATAGATTTAAAGAACTGTCAAAATCCACAATTAAAACCTTAGCACATGACCCTAGTCTGAAAATGATTTTATAACTCAGCGGAAGAAACTCAAAAGTTTTGACAGCAAGAAGGGCTTAAAAAAAGCATTAAAAAAGCAAAAGCCCCCAGTTCTAACACTAGCAAGGAATGTAGATTAGGGGAAAAGAAAAACACAACATTAAAAAAAAAGAGTTTAGCAGTAAGTGTGAGAAAAATTAGTTTTACAGAAACTATTTTTCTTGTGAGTTACAGACACACAAAAAGAGACAGTTCATATAGAGATTATACATGTCCTGGCCAACAAAAAAGGCAGACTTGCAGTAATTGCTTATCCTTTATTCTTACTTTATCCTTCAGACCATTATTTGTTTTTAAAATAAAACATTTTCAAAGCAACTGTTTCTCATGTACACATTGAAGAAGTCAAGCTATTTTTTTAAAAATCAAAAATCATACACTAGGAAATCCTAAAAATCAAAAACTTCTTAAATGATTTTACCTAAGTGTTTTTTAAAGTGCCACAAGATATCAAATGTATATGTATGCATAAGTATTGGTATATGAAAGAATGGAAGAAAAATAAGCAAACATTTAAGAACAAAAATTAACATTTCATCTGGTGATTAATATTTGCAGATGAGAAGTCTGGATTCACTGACAACTTATTCAAAATCTACATTAAAAATTCTCCCTAGGTGTGTGGCCACAATGTAGCTTAATTTAAAAAAAAACACAAAATAAAACAAAGAAACCCCCCCAAGAATAAATAAACCTAAATACCGCATTTCTAAGTGTACAGATCGATTTTCTCACAAAACCCCTAGTATTAAGCATTTCCACCAAGTGTGTTCTGCATTTATAACATGTCACTACCAGTCAACAATCTAATTTTGTATATGAATTACACAAAGGACAATACTAGGATTTCAGTTACTCCTACTTCCTGTATTTCAAAAAGTCTCTAGAGCTATTACATGGCAGTATCAAGAAGCACAGTAATGAATTAATACGTGTTGGGCATTTCTGACTCACAATAAAGTTACTACTTACCACCGATACTCTGCTGAAAATGTCACATCAGTATCATTCCCAGTGTAGTTCCACCTTAGGACAAGATGCGTATTTTCAACATAGACTTCAATATCCTGTGGACTCTTCAGAGGCGTTTGCCCTACAAGGAAGTAACACAAAGGCATATAAAGATTAGGATAAAAAATTTGTACGTAATTTAAGAATAGCTTTTGTTAAAAAAAAAAAGAAGTAGAGAGTTACAGTGAAATAAAATTACAAATAACCTTAAGTGTGAGGAAAATCCCACACTACTCAAATAGGACTTTAGTATAGAGCTCAGGAGCTGTGCATCAGGTGGATTCTTTGCCTACGTGACTTCACAGTTCTTCAATTTGTACATAATTTAAGAATAGCTTTTGTTAAAAAAAAAGAAGTAGAGAGTTACAGTGAAATAAAATTACAAATAACCTTAAGTGTGAGGAAAATCCCACACTACTCAAATAGGACTTTAGTATAGAGCTCAGGAGCTGTGCATCAGGTGGATTCTTTGCCTACGTGACTTCACAGTTCTTCCCTCTGTGTTTAAAGTCTTTCTCCCCATACTACTTGTAAAATTCAAGGCCTGTGCTCATTGCTTATAATCAACCCATGACAATCTGAATGCATTTAGAACAGTATTTTATTGGTTGGACCCAACATCTGGATCTCAGCTGCAGAAGACTAGGACTGGCCCAAAGCTATCATTTCACAGTTGCAAAACAGATGGAGCACAGCAGACTTGTTTCATGTCACATGTTATTGCCATAAATTCAATGCATCAAATGTAAGTCCCTTTCAGTGAGGCTTCACCACAAAATAGATCTTGCTCATGATAATCCTATGTTTTCTTTTACGCAAAGAGCTGTACATAAAATAACTTATGGAGGGCAAGGGCTAAGTCTCAGGACACCTATAAGAACGTCCATAGCATCAAGGGAAGGACCAGACCATGAGAAGAGAAGGCTTAACAAGCAGATTGCCAACAAGAGGGAAGCATGCATGCTAGAATCATCGGCAAGATGGCTTTCTCTTCTTTTTTTGTTTTCCACCTTTCAAAAATAATTATACAAAAACCAACCAAACAATAAAAGAACCAACTGCCTCGTAATTGCCTTATATATAACTTCCTAAAGAAGACTGCCATTAACTTTGAGATATGCAGAATCCTACACGTTCCATTTGGTTTACAAGGTATCAGAGCACACATGAGAGTAACAATGCTGAGGGAGAATGAATTATTCTGATACATATGGAAAACTGAAATTTATGTAGCCATTTATAAAGTACATTTTGCTTCAAATTATTTCATAGAATTGCAGAATTATTGAGGCTGGAAAAGACCTCCGAGATCATCAAGTCCAGCCCACGACCCAACACCATCACATCAGCCCGAGAATGGAATTAAGTGCCACATCCAGCCTCTCCTTAAACACCTCCAGGGACGGTGACTCCCCCACTTCCCTGGGCAGTGCATTCCAGTGCCTGAGCACCCTCTCTGTGAGGAAGTGTTTCCCGATATCCAACCCAAACCTCCCCTGACACAGTTCCAGGCTGTGCCCTCTCATCCCACCACTAGTTGCCTGGAAGAAGAGCCTGACCCTCACCTGACTACAACCTCCTCTCAGGAAGCTGCAGAGAGTGACAAGGTCCCCTCTGAGTCTCCTCTCCAGGCTAAACAACACCAGCTCCCCCAGACTCTCCCCATAAGACCCTCCCTCCAGTCCCCTCAACCAGCCCCGCCGCCTTCCTTTGGACCCTCCAGCACCTCAATATCCCTCTTGCACTGAGAGGCCTAGAATGGCACACAGCACTCAAAGGGAGGCCTCCCCAGTGCTGAGCACAGGGGCAGAATCACATCCCTGCTCCTGCTGGCGACACTGTTCCTGATACAAGCCAGGATGCCATTGGCCTTCTGGGCCACCTGGGCACAGTGCTGGCTCACGTCCAACTGGTTGGCAACCAGCACTTCCAGGTCCCTCTCTGCCGGGCCGCTCCCCAGCCGGTAGCGCTGCAGGGGGTTATTGTGGCCAAAGTGTAGGACCCTGCACTCGGTCTTGTTGAACTTCATACCAGCCCATTGACCCAGCCTGTCCAGGTCCCTCTGCAGTGCTTTCCTACGCTCTGGAAGATCAACACTCCCCCCTAGCTTGGTGTCACCTGCAAACTTACTAAGGGCAGACTCAACCTCCTCATCCAGGTCGTCAATAAAGATGTTGAACAGGACTGGTCCCAGTACTGATCCCTGGGGGACACCACTGGTCACCAAATGCCAACTGGATGCAGCACCATTCACCACCACTCTCTGGGCCCAGCCATCCAACTAGATCAGTTTTTAACCCAGCAAAGGGTGCATCCACCCAAACCGTGGGCTGCCAGCTTTTCCTGGAGGATACTGTGGGAGACTGCATCAAATGCTTTGCTGAAATCAAGGGAGACCACATCCACAGCCTTCTCCTCATCCACTAGATGGGTCACTCAGTCACAGATGGAGATGAGATTGGTCAGTAGGGCCTTTCTTTCCTAAATCAAATTTGGCTGGGCCTGATCCCCCTTGTCTTCTACATGTCACTTGATGGCACTCAGGATGATCTGCTCCATAACCTTGCCAGGCATGGTCTACAGCACTGCTTCAAAGCAGTGAGGCTAAGAAGTTACAATTGGGGTGGAAAGTTTGGACTGGAAGTTTTCTAGTACTAGACACTAAACCAGACTGCAGCTTACACAGCAAAGTGAAACTGTGACGGCACAGGGAATGCATGTGAACTGAGGAAACCTTAGGCAGAAGTCACTAAAATCTTACCAAAACCACCAGTCATACTGAAATTTACAGAGCTTAAACTTCATCTAAGTCCTTCTGCCTGGTATCCTACGCTAGGTATCTTTGACATCCCTGTTCCATTTAGGCAGAACATACCTCTGCCCTCTGACTAAGAATGCAGTTTCAACTTCTAATGCATCAGGGGGAAAAAAAAAAAAAAAAAAAAAAAATCAAATCAACTAAACCACACACCTCCAACTTGACTTTCTATTTTAACCAGCTGTATGGTACACTATTACTCACTTCCCAATGGCTACAATTTTTTAAAAAATAAAATATTAGTGAGCATCGCTCTGAAATTGCTTTTTGATGTCACTCAAATATTTGAGTTAATTGTTATCAGAAAGAAATCAGAACAAATACACCCTTTCACCTGGGCAATCAAAGTCTGTTTGCACATCTAAAGGGTCATCCTGAATTTGATTTAAGAGTGGCTCCTCACTGCAAAAAAAATATTTCATATTTTACATGATGACCAAGTTATCTCTATACAATGGAAATGTATGTGGAATAGCAATCTATAAACTGAAGTCGGTAAAAATCCTTTTGGAGAATAAAGTGGTATCCACAGAATACTGACTTCTGCAGAAAACTCCTGAAAGAGAAGAATCTGAAAGCAGAGCAATTCAGTAAAACCTTCTGGATCACACTACAGAATTCCACAATGCGTGAATTTGTTCCTCTTAAGACAACACGCTAAAATAAGGCCAGAGAATGCCCAACTACATTCAATCATTAGAAAATAACTAATTTAATTTTCCAGTATTTCTCCAACAGTCGGCTACAGTTGAGTCAAAAAACCCTAATGATAATGAAGGCAGCTATTCCAGATTTTCACAAACAGCAGCAATTTTGAATATTTATACCTCTTCACAAAGAAAATACTCACTTCATAGGAAAATATTATTTTCACTTTATTTGAGAATATTTGGATTAAATGTATAAACCAGAAAGTGTGGAACAGAAAAGTTCCATTAGCTTTTAAAAGTGTGGAACAGAAAAGTTCCATTAGCTTTTAATAATAATTAAAAAAAAAGAAATCACAACTCTGCTATTATCATAGATCTGTCAGAGCCACCTGGGGAAAAAAAAAAAGAAGTAGTAAAAATATGAAGAATACCACCACCTATAGTAAGTCACAGATCAAATGTTATAATTTTGCTTAGTACAACTCAATGCTTTATGACCCCATGGAGGATTACTTAAGTGTTGTGATACAGTACACCACTTTCAATTTCAGTTCTAAAGAAACATCAACAGAATGACATCTTACACATCTGAGGTGCAGGATAGTGCTTTTCCCTGTAAATATATGTATTGACATATTTGCAGACTTAGAAAATCATTCATACGCTCAATCTGTTTAAATATTTATTTGTAATATATCTTAATACACAGTATGACAGAAAACTTGTTTCAAGCCATCTGCTCAATCTGTTTAAATATTTACTTGTAATATACCTTAATATACAGTATGACAGAAAACTTGTTTCAAGCCATCTTTTTGGAATGTAATTCAACTGCTGACAGAAACTCAGATACGGTTTCCTCAATTTGCTAGCAGCACAGATACCAAGTTTAAAAATGCGCCATGGCAGTAGTAAATAGAAGTCTTTACAAGAGATTCCCAAGGTAGTTTCTTTACCCTGAACACCACAAAACCACAAGGACGTGGGATCTGAGAACCACATTGCATCTACAGAGCTCCAACACTGATAAAAACCACTACTGTATGTTAAGACTAATTTTTTTGTTTGCCTTGGGTAGAAAAATCAAATATTAACTGCACATCCAGAGTATCTTTCCCACATTTTCAAATCCTTATCCTATACACAGCATGACATATTGCAATTAATTCTTATTAGACCTTTTCCATTTGACATCAGATAGGAAAAAGGAAGTCTGGAAGCAGAAATAAAATCACTTCAAGATTCATGTTCTAACCAGATACACCTTCTCCCCAAGTTAGAAAAAACATACTCATGTAAAATATGTTAAATTCAAAAACAACGTACATGTGTGAGCACTTGCAGTCAGTGCTCAGCAACAGTCAAAAAAAAGGAAAAATGTAGAAATTGATATGGGATTAAGGGAGTAAAAGAGAAAGCTTCATGTCATTACAAAAATTCATTACAGTTTTATCTTGAACAGCGAGTGCAGCTCTAGAGAAACCACTCTCATAAGCAGACAACAGAACAGAGTAAGGCAGAAAAGGGTTGACAAGGACAATCCACGGTATGGAACAGTTTCTGCCCTGGAGGGGAAAAAAAATAAAATCAGACCTGAGAAGGAGACCGAGGAGAGGCTATGACAGACCTACAGACACCTAACCAGTGGCAAGGGGAACGCAAGTGGGCAGAAGACTGTCTGCTGTCTTCTTAACAAAACCGGAAGCATCAAAACGAGCAGCAGCCGGCTCTAAGCAAAGGAATGAAATTGCTGCCTCACTCAGCCCTTCACTTGTCGATCTGGGGAATTCCTTCCCCTTGGACTCTGAATGGGTAGCTCTTACCTGGTTCATGAACTCAAATACAAAGTCTCGATGCTATCAACTACTGTGATACTACCTCATGAAGTGTCACCACATACTTGCTTTTATATTCTTAACTACTCTGCTACAGAGAGATGCCATAGGTGAACATTGGACAGATTTTTAGCTTCATCTGATATCAAGTCCAACAGGAAAAAAAAACCCCGAGAAAACCACAACACTCTTTGTAGATCTATCTCAAGCTTGATTAGGTACTTTGCTCCTTGTCCCAGCCAGAAAAACGGATTATTGCTTCAGAAGGATTGCTCAAGTCCTGACAGACAACCCTGATAATTCAAACTATCTTCACCAGGAAATCTGATTTCTTATCCGAATTAAAATATCTATTTATTGAGGGTTCTAGGTCACAATTATGCAATTTCATCTCTTCACTCTATCTCCTATGGCAGTTAAGAAGAGGGATATTATCAGTAAGCCATCTAAAATTTTATACTCTGAGGAATGTCTTTGCTTGGAATTTGTTAACAATTAACAATCGCTAATTCACCTTCTAGCACTTTTAACACAGTTTCCACCACTGCATAATTTATTTTTACAGGCTTTCAGTCTCCTAAAATATTTCAATATTCCTTACCATCAGAGGTTCAGGAAAGCTTTTTGTAAATCAAAAGCAAAGAACTTCCAAATCAGATTTCCTAGTAGATTCCACTAGAGGTCTGGTTGAAAATAGTAACCATTACATACCATTACAGAATAACAAAAGCCTTCCAACAGCAGAAGAAAGTTCTCTTAGCAAGACAGAAATATATTCTCTTCACAGAGAGCAGAGGAGAAATCACGTTAAAGAGTACATAATGGCTTGCTGTTATCACATTAAGCATGTGGTAGAATCAATGGAAATTTCAACATTTCATTGTAGAAAGGAAAGTAAGCCTCTTCTAGGTGTCAAAAAAAAAAAACAAAAAAAAGGCACAATCGACCACACACCGAAACTGACCCAACTATCATTGGTTCAGTGGGCAGAAAAGTTGTCAAGAGAACCAGAGAGAACTCCCACTGCAGGAACCTTCCCTCAGGAGCAGCAGAGAGGAGCTGCTGGTTTTCACAAGGCAGAAGGTGAGAGGTTGCTGCAAGAGAGCAATTACTTCTAACTGTAAAAGCAGTATGTGGCGTGTTAGTTGCTTGCTGTAATATGTGTGGGTTAATCCAGGTAGCTGCAGGCACCACAATGCTTTTTTGGGATGGAAATGCAGTTCTGGGATAGAATTTGGGGCTGACACACAAAGAATTCACCTACAAACCACATGGATGAAAGAAAACAAAGAGAAGAGGTCCCAGAGCGGTTTCTCTGACCGAACCCTACCCTGAATGCAAAGCGCGCATCCCTGAGAACAGCCTCTCTCTCAACTTCTTTTGGGTACGTCGAACTAGAACACAATCTTACGTGGCATTCAGGAGGGCAGGCAGTATGGTGAGCAGCACGCACACACCAGCCCGTGGCCACAACATTTCCATTACCCAAAGGAGATGACCTCACGTACTCCAGCATGTCAGGACAGCCCAGGCACACACTGGAAGGCAACATCTTATCTGGGCTGCACAATACTTCCCCCTTGAAACAAGCTCCGGAAAGCCTGAAGCCGACGAGATGAAGGTGGCGACTTCACCCGAGTAAACCGAGTAGAAGCAAAGGCGCTCGACGGAAACCGAGCCCCGCTCACCCAGGCGGGTGGACCCATCCCCACCCGAGGCCTGGACGCCTTTGCATCCCCGCAGCGAGCGCCGGCACCGCGGCGTCCCTCCGCTCCTCGCAGCGCCGTGG